AGATTTAAATAAAAATTAATTTAAATATTTTATAATTTATTAAATAATAATTTATAAATAAAAAAAATAAGAAATTATTTTAATAAAACAAAAATTTATAAAAAAAATAATTATTAGTAATAAAGTTATTAAAGATTCAGATAATAAAAGATTAATATAAAATTAATACTTATTATAAAAATTATAAAAATAATAAAATATTATGATATTAAAAATATAATATTTTAAAAGAATTAATTTATTTATTTTTTAATAAAAAATAAGAGGTTCTTATTTAAAAATATATTTAAAAAATTTTATTTAATTATATTAAGTCTTAATAATATTTAATTAATTCAAAAATTAAATATAATATCTCTATTAAGGAAAATATAATAATTAAAAATTGAAATTAAAAAATTAATTCTTAAAAAAAGAAAATAAAAATAATTTATTAAAATATTAAAAAAAAAATGTTAATTTAATATAGAATATTTAACCTTTTAGTTAAAAATCAAAAGATTTATAAGATAATAAATATTTATTTCTAAATATTTTTTTATCAGATTTCATTATTTTATATATAATAATGGTACTTATTTTATATTTTTTAGTAAAATTAATAATAAAATATACAATTTCAATTAAAAGTATCTTTATTATAAACATATATTTGTTTATTAAATTTATTTTGGTTAGAAAGAGAAAATCGTAACTCTATATTATATAAGTCATAAGGTCTTATATTAAATAATAAATTATTAATTTTATAATATTTTATTTAATTTACTCTATTTTTATATTTATATTGATTTATGGATAATCTTTTTTCATTCATATTTTGTTTGATATTTACTATTACTTCTTTTAAATCGGGTAATCTAGAATAACCTTCAGCATTTAATTTTAATATTATTAATCAAGCCTTAAAATCATTATATTTATTGGTTCTTCAATTTTATATAATTAAAGGATTATATATAATATCTATTAAATCATCTATATTAACTACATAAAAATCAATTTTAATCTTAGTTAATTTTATTATAGAACCTTTATTAGATAAAAAAAATTTTATTTGTTTAAATAAATATAAATCTCTTTCATGCTGTGTTAAACGAAATAAATAATAATTATTATTAAAACCAAAATGACCGTCACCTTTTATAAAACCTAATAACCATGAATAATTAATTTGTACTTTATGATCCACTGGAAAAATATAATTAATTCTTTTAGAATAAAATTGTAATAATAAATTATTAAAATAAATATTATCTTTTAGAGGAATATTCTTATTTTTATTCATATAAATTATAAATTTTCGAAATATTTTATAATTTAAATATTTAGTACTTTGTAAAGGAAATAGATCAAAAAGTTATAAAATATAATTTAAATTTTTTTCATAACCAAATAATCTAAGTTCTCTATAGTATTTATTTATATAAATTTTATCTTTTTTATTAAAAAAATATTGTTCTCTACTAATTAATAAATCCTTATCGCAATATTCTAATATTTCTAACTTAAAATTTTTATATTCATATTTTAATAATGCTTTATAAATTTTTGAATTACCATTTTTTAATAAAAATTCCTTATTTAAATATTGATTTAATCTTTTTGATAAATTTATTGAACTACCAATATAAAATTCATTATTCATAGTATTTGTCCATTTATAAATACCACTTTTATTTTTATTATCTGAAATAAGATCCTTTTTATCTTTTTTTATATTAGTATAAATTTTTATTGGTACAATATTACATAATAAAATATTTGTAAAATCAAAATATTCCATCATTTATAAGAATTATTATCCGTATAAGAATAAGAAACTCATCATCAGAGCAAATAAACCCATAGCTTCTACTAATGCGAATCCTAAAATAGCATAAGAAAATAATTGTCCTTTTAAAGAAGGATTTCTACTTAAAGAATTTAATAAAGAAGAGAATACATTACCAATACCCATTGAAGTACCACCTAAAGATAAAACAGCTAAACCAGCTGCAATTAATTTAGCACAAGCTAACATAATAATAAAATAACTAATATGATTTCAATTAATTAGATATATGAATAGCATTATTAATAAATATTTTTATATTTATAGCTCCATTACCTATTCTTTTTTTTCCATTACCTCGTTTTAATGGATTTTTAAAATTTGATTTATAATCTATTAAAGAATAAGAAGAATTAAAATTAAAATTACCATAACGTAAAATATATTTTCGAGCTCTACTAGCAGTTCTTCTTTTTGTTAATCTACCAGAAAAAATACATTTTATACCACTTATATAAGAATAAACATTTAAATATCTAATAACTATATTTATATAATCATAATTATATAAATGTGGAAAATAATTTATAATTCTTTTTATTTTTATATTTCTTTTTATTAATCTTCTTAAAGATAAAAAACTTCTTTTTTTTAATTTTATAGCTAAATATTGAGTTAATATTTCACTATTTAAATAAGGTTGACGAATAATAATAATTTTTAATGTAACTGGTATACCCATTATATGAGTTAAAATTTTATTTATTTTATTTATAAAATTTTTTAATCTTACTTCTATTTTTCTTATTTTTTTTATTCTTACATTTTTAAAAAAAAATATAGATATTTTAACTTTATTACTATCATAATAAAAATTAGGAGTATTTATTAAACCATATTTAAAAAAAATTATTTTTAAAATTTTATTTATATATAATTCTTTATTTATATTTTTATTAATTTTTTTATATGTTATAATATTCCAATTACCTACTTTATTAAATTTTCTACTTAAAGGATATTTTAATGACATATATTAATATTATATATATATTACTAACGAAAATATAATTTATAGGAGTTAGTAGATTTGAACTACTTCCATCTAGTTGTAAGCTAAAAGCTCTACCAATTAAGCTAAACTCCCTTATATTTATAATATAATAAATAAATATTTATATAAATATTATATAAATATAAATTAATAAAAAAAAAATAATAATTATATTTTAAAAATTTGTTATTTATAAAAATAAATTTTATAAAAAAATAAATAATATAAATTATATTTAATAATAAGAGAATAAATAAAATAATTTAAAGAATTAATATAAAGGGAAAATTAAATAAAAAATAAAGAAAGTAAAAAGAATAAAATAAATTTTAAATTAAAAGGAAGTAAAATTAAAAGTAATAAACTAATTATACCAGTTAAAATATATCCAGAATAATTAGGAATAATACCAGAATCATAAGAAGCTAAATTAGAACTTTTAAAAGAAAATAAATTAGTTAAACCAAATGGTCCTATAATTTCAATAATACCACGATCCAATAATTTATTAGATCGATGAGCTATATTAAAAGCAGAATAAATAAAAAATTTATTATAAATCCAATCTAACCAATAAGCAGAAGCTAAAAATGAAATAATATTTTTAAAATATTTAATAGATATTTCAGAAATAAAAAAAGGAAAAAAAAATAAAATAAATAAGCAATAAAACCACCTAATAAACTACATATAAGAGGTAAAAGTTTAAATATTAAAGGTAAAGAAAATTCAATATCAGAAATTTTAAAATGATTAGGATGTATAAAAATACTATTTAACCAAAAATCTGAACCTAAACCTACAAATAAATCTTTTAATATATAACCAAAAAATATACTTAATATTGCTAAAAATATTAAAGGAATTGTCATTATTAAATTTGGTTCATGAGAAAATTTATAATTAGATAAAGGACCATTAGGTCTACCCATAAAAGTTAAAATTAAAATTTTTATTGAATAAACACTAGTTAAAAATGCAGTTGTTGTACCTATCCAATAACCTATTGAACCTTTTAATAAATATTGACCATAACTAAATTCTAAAATTAAATCTTTTGAATAAAAACCAGTTAAAAATGGTAATGCCATTAAACTTAAAGAACCTATTAACATTACAGTATAAGTAAATGGTAATATATTTATTAAACCTCCCATTTTATTAGTATTTTGTTCATCATTTAATGCATGAAGAACACTTCCTGCAGACATAAATAATAATGCTTTGAAGAAACCGTGATTTACAATATGGAATATAGCTATATCATAACCACTTATACCACATGCTAAAAAACAATAACCTAATTGAGACATTGTTGAATATGCAATTACTTTTTTAACATCATTTAACATTAATGCTATTGATGCTGCAAATAACGCTGTTGTACATCCTACTAATGTAATTATAACTAATATAGTATCAGAATATTCAAATATAGGTGAAGCTCTCATTAATAAATATACACCAGCTGTTACCATCGTTGCAGCGTGTAATAATGCACTAACGGGTGTAGGACCCTCCATTGCTTGTGGTAACCAAGTATTTAAACCTAATTGAGCTGATTTAGCCATAGCACCTAAAAATAAAAGAATACAAATTAAAGTAATATAATTTTCATCTGTAGCGTAGGCTACAGAAAATATAGAAGCAAAATTTAAAGTACCAAATAATAAAACTATTATATATATACCCATACTAAATGTCCAATCACCTATTCTATTCATCAACAAGGCCAGTATAGCGGCCTTGTTGGCTTCTAATCTAGTAAACCAAAAATTAATTAATAAATAAGACATAACACCAACGCCCTCCCAACCTATAAATAAAACTAAAAAATTATCTGCACATATTAAAATTAACATAAAAAAAGTAAATAAAGATAAATATGAAAAGAATCTTTGGTTATGAGGATCACCTTCCATATAACCTATAGCATATATATGAACACAAGCAGATACTATAGCTACTAATAAAACCATAGAAACTGTTAAACTATCCATATATATACCCCAATTTATCTCTAATATTTCAGAATCTATCCAATTTATTAATTTTAATTTAATAGGTGAACCACCTATACCTATTTCATAAAATATTATACCAGATAATAAAGCTGTTATTATTAAAATTATTCCACTTATCCAATGACTTCCTTTTATTCCTATTTTTCTTCCTAATAATCCAGATATTATTCCACTTATTAATGGTAAAATTATTATAGATAAATACATTATATAAAAATTTTTTTCCCTTCCTTGTTTTCTTTTAATTAAGCGGAAAAGGGTATGAATCCTTAATCTTCACGTATGAGATGAATGTTTTACTTTAAACTATTCCGCCTTATTGGATGGAGGGATTTGAACCCCCGATTATCGAATTCAAATTTCGAGGTCTTACCAACTTGACTACATCCAAATATTTATAATTTATAAATATATATAAATATTTATTTATAAATTATATTTATTAAATTATAAATATTTAAATTAAATAAAATAAATATATATAAATATATAAAAGAAATATAAGATTTATATTAATGATTTTAAATAATAAAAATATTTTTTTAATATAAGATATATATAATCATGAATTATTATATTTTAGAACTATTGGGATCTAATGGATTTACTGTTATTTTTTTTATCGTACAATTTTTAACAATAGATCCGTTTAATATTGTAGTATTTTATGATGAAAATATAAATTTATATTTTTCAATTATACCATTTTTTAAAAAATTAAAAAAACATTTTAAAAATAATAAATATAAAATAAATAATAATTATTTAAAAAAATTTTTAAATAAAAATAAAATAAGAATTTTTAAAAATATTAAGTCATTAGGAAAATATTTTAATTTTATTTTATTGTTAGGGCTCATAATAGGTTTTTTTTTTAATTTTATCTCAGGAAATTTTTTATTTAAAAGACTTATTTATTTTTTTATTTTGTCTTTATTTTTTTATTTTTTTTTTTTAAACCTATATATTGTGAGAGAGAGAATCCAAAAAATAAATATACAGAAAAAAAATTAGAATTTACAAATCAAAATAAAAATAATTTACCTGAAGTAAATGTGAATGTAAATCATACTTTAGATGATAATAAGGTAGGTGAAGGATTAAAAATATTAGGTTTTGGAATTGAGAAAATAGCACCTGCAGCAGGAGCGGGAGTAGTTGGGCTATCAATAGCTAAAGCCATGAAAGCAGTAGGTGGAACACCAAATCAAAGATTAATAGGGGGAGTAATTGCTGGAAGTTTTGCTATGGGGACTTCAATAATATCTCAAGTTATAAATAAAAAAAAAAGTTTAGATGAAATAAAGAATTTAAAGTGCACATCAGATAATTCTAAAGATTCCTTTTCTGCTTCTTCTATTTTTGAAAATTTTCTAAATTTTGATTATATTCATAATTTATCATTTGAAGAAGGTATGTTAATAGGAATCATCTTTTATGCATTAGCTGCATTTATAGGTATAAATTCTATTTTAATGCATAAACTAATTCAATTATTAAATTTAGAAAATTTAAATTTTATTAAGAATAGACCAATTTTGTTAAAATACACTAAATTTATTAATAACACTAATAATTTTGTAAGTCTTTTTATAATAATTTTTACATGGCTCTGTATAATATCCATATTATTGTCTTTATTGTATCTATTAGGGTCCATATAAAAAAAAATTTATTTTTTTAATTAATAGGTAATATAATTTTTTCTTTCATTATTTATTAATATAATATTTTTTTTTCTATTATAATTATCTAATGGCTTTTTTTTTAGGTAAATAAAAGCTTTTTTTTTATTAATATTTTTATATTATATTAATTATGATTATATTACTATTTTTATCTGTTTATTTTTATTATTTATTTTTTATTAATTAGTTCTCTAATTCTGTTACATATTTAAATAAGAAATAATTATCCATTTGGATAATTAATTCTTATTAAATATCACTCGAAATAAAATAGATGTGGAGTTTTAAATATTAAATTTATTTTTTAGATATATAATACTATAACATTAGTTTATATGCCTCAATTAATACCTTTTTTATTTAAAATTAAAATAAAAAAAAATTTTAAATAAAATTTATTTATATAAATAATAAAATAAAAATTTTTAAATTAATTTTTATTTGTATTTTGATAATTATTGGATATTGTACTTTTTCTAACGTTAATTATAAAATATATATGATAATTGGTTCTTTAATATTATATTTATTAGTTTATTCTATATATGCAGATTAAGATTCAGAATTCGATTCCAATAATACTATTTCTGATTTCAAATCTATAAATAATTCTGATTCAAATAATTTTTTTTTCTGACTCTGAATCTGATTAAAATAATTCCATGTCTAAGTTAGATTTTTATTTAAATTAAGAAGATAAATTTTTAAATATAGAAAGTGTTGAAAATTCTATATATTTTATTAAAAAAAAAAAGTACTATTTTTGATAAAGATCCCTAGATTTAATTTATTGAAGAGACTAGAGATAAATTAGTTGAAGCTGTAAGTATTGGAATTGCTGGATAATCAGCAATTCTAGCAAAAATAAATTAAAAGTTAATTCAATAAAATTAGCAGTATTAGAAGTAGGTTCTATAACTGATTGTATTGGATATAGATCAATTTAAGTAACTGAAAAACTAATTGTAGAAAATATGCGAAATACAAAAATTAAAGATTCTTTAAATCCTTCATCACCAAGTATTGTAGAAAGTATTATGTGAAAAGACGATAATATTAATAATGATATATTAGAAATCTTAGAAATATTAAATAATTATATAGAATATATTTTATATTTAGGTTTTATAGATATAGAGACATTGTTTTTATATGTTTTAATATAAATAAATTTTGGAATTTTTTAATTAATTTTTTTTTTTTTTTTATGTTAATAGGTAATTACATTTTTAAAAATTTTATTATAAATATTTATTACCCCCTTTAGATAATTTTTCATTACAATTTACTAAATACTTAAATTATCAAATATATTAAAAAATAATAAAAGTTCTTTATATAAATTCAAATTTAACGAAAAAACAAAATAGGATTTTAGATA